ACACCCTAGACCCCTAAACCCTAGACCCCTAAACCCTAAACCCTAAACCCTTAAGCCGACCTTGACAGAGGTGGAGTCCTTGAGGCCCAGAAAGCCGCTGACCTGGACGCTCGTCCGGAGGAGTCTTTCTGTACTGGGGTGTTTGTGATAAGGTTGCTGTTTGGGCTTCTAGGGTTTAGGGTNNNATAGTTACCAATCCTATTTTGGGGGGTTCCTTATTATACTGGGGTGTGTGTGATAAGGTTGCTGTTTGGGTCTCTAGGGTTTAGGGTTCAGGGTTCTAGGGTTTAGATAATACAGAGGCCTAAATAGTTACCAATCCTATTTTGGGGGTTCCTTATTATAGTTGTAGTATAATACCCTACATTAATTGTCAGAACTTACCCGTCCTCAAAATGGCCACAATATAGATTCCTGTATGGGTTAGGATCTCCTGATCAGGAACCCTAAACCCTTATAAACCCTAAACCCTAAACCGTTGAACCACATTCCCAATGATGAGTTAGCAGATCTTGAGTTTTCTAGCCTCCAGGATCTAGTTCTGGGGCTTTTCATCGGCAAGAAAACAAGCTTTGGAACAACCCCCGTTTGGGGCTGAATGCATTTAGCTTAGGGTTTAGGTTTTGAATGCATGCTGCATGCTTCTGCAATCCTAAACTTTAAATCCTCAAGGCATCTACCTAAACCCTAAACCCTAAACCCCTAAACTAGGCCCTGAACCCCAAAGGGTCCGAGCAACTCCAGGCAGCCCGGCTGGGGCGTTCGGAGCCCTTCGGAGCCAACAGGCCAGGCGCACACGTTTAGGGTTTAGGGTTTAATATAGGGGCTTCACTAGTTCCCTATATTATTTTGCGCGGGGTTCCTTATTCTGATTATTGTAAAATGTCCCTAAAAACTCATTCTAATTGTTAAGGCCCTTATTTTAGGGTTTAGGGTCCAAGGCCTGAACCTTGAACCCTACACCCGCAACCCCATACTGCGGGGTTTGGGGTTTTTAGGCCTCCTACATCCTTCTGTGACCTCAAGACAGCCTCAGGATGCTTCTCAGCCACACGCCATTCCGAGCCCTGGCAGACTCTTTGCAGCAGAAAGCTTCACTGGCCGGGATCATCATTACATGTTCCGGGTTGAGGGTGTATAGCGACTTCGGTGCAATACTGGTGTCGTGGGAATAACGGTGTGTATCGAAAGCATCACAGAAGCAGTCATTTTGGTTTAATGCTCGCAAGAATGAGTAAGCCCCCATCTGTGCAGAATCAGCCTTTGCAGGATCGTTTCCAAGACCGCCGGGTACTGATCGTCGGCGCAAGCCGCACGGCCGAGGTGGCTGCCAGCTCTTGGGCAGCAGTAGCATGCAAGAGTCGGCAAAGCCATGCATAATTTCATCCCATACGACAGCCGCAAAGAGTCAGAGGAGTTTTGGGAGTTTCAGAAAGTGGACTAGGAGACTCTAATACAGACCTAACTAAATAGCAGCATCCTGTTTACAGCAACACCCTACAGAGAGAGCCCAGAGTTGTTAGAAATGCCCATTCCAGCTGTCTACGGGGTGGTGCCAGGATACAAACGCAGAAAACCTACCTGTTTTCAGGATGTAAATCAGGAAATCAGAATACAGAAGCCGAAAATGTAGTTTTTGAGGGTCTGAAACCTTACTATAACTCTAAACTTGGCTTGGGTCTGCCGCCACTAAGGCTTGAAGAGTTGAATTCTAATCGCAGCTCTTCATCTTGAGAGAACTCCTTGAGAACCCAAGCAACCTCCAGTAGAGACTGTCCCATTACGGCATCAGAGGAACGCAATATCAATTAATGACGTTGCATGGGAAATTCCTCAGACGCTGCTGAAGAACCCTGAACCCTAAACCACCCAAAGCCCGTAATCCTTGGTTCGGATGGTACACTAGCTTCCCCAGAAGTACCCTATTTGGCCCTCTTTCTTGCTTGGGCTCCCCGATTGAAGCCGAATAGTAGGAAAAATGGTACCCTCATTGTCAAGGGGCTACTCCTGCAGAACCCTTGTAGATCCCTTTAAAGGAACCCTTATAGATCCCTTTAAGCGGAATTTTTCTAGAATCCTTATAGATCCCGTTAAAGGAACCCGTATAGGTCCCTTGTAGATCCCTTTGAAGTACATGGCCCTAAACCCTAAACCCCAAACCCTAAACCCTAAACCCTAAACCCTAAACCCTAAACCCCTAAACCCCTAAACCCTAAACCCCTAAACCCGGTTCTTCCGGGCTGAATTCCAGGCTACGGCTTCGACTTCACTTCCGGTCTGGCGGCCCCTGGGTCGCAAGCCAGGGCCAAGTCAGGTGTTAAGCTGATAAGATGTAATATAATATAATATAATATAATATAAGATAAGATAAGATAAGATAAGATAAGATAAGATAAGATAAGATAAGATAAGATAAGATAATATAATATAATATAATATAATATAATATAATATAATATAATATAATATAATATAATATAATATAATATAAGATAATATAATATAAGATAAGATAAGATAATATAATATAATATAATATAA